AAAGATCCCCCAGGTAGCCTCTAGCAGGCTGTAGGGGCAAGTGCTGCTAGTAGCGAGTAGCAGCACCTACACATAAGACAAAGATCCCCCAGGTAGCCTCCGACGTGGATCTCCATCGCCAGCAACACGAAGAACCTCGAGCCCCTCACGGGGCCGCCGTTATATCAGCCTGGGCTGGGGATGGCTCCGCCCCTCGCCCCGCCCACCTTTCGGATCTCTCCGGATCTTTCTCGAAGGCTCCCCGAGGGCTCTTGTAGACCACGTGACCGCCCAGCGGCCCCCCGTCCACCGGTGGCCCCCCTCCAATATCATCCGGTGACGTGTCGGCAGGTCAACCGGCGCATCGTGCCCCAACGTAACCCTGGCTGGCTGACGCTCCCTCTCGCTCCCTCGCCGGGAGCCCGCACTGCACGCCGTACGTGGTGCCTCCGCGCTGACCAGCGCTCACCCAGGCCCCGCTAGGGCTGGCGGTACTACGCCCAGTGAGCGGGCTGCACGTAATGCCAACACATCATCCGCCGTGGCTTCGTAAGCCCGGCACCACACAGTGACAATCACAGTCACTACACAAGCAAGAACATCTGCTGGACTACATTGTGACGGACCAGTGGATACGGGCCCATGTCCTTGACACCAGGAGCTGATTTGCCCACTGACCATTGACTTGTCATCTGCAAGATGCGCCTGCCATTCTTCCACTCCGGTGGGGGGTGTACACCCAGGACCCCATTCAAACCCATCGTGGCCTGGTCTCAGCTAGCTGATTAAAGTTTCAAGCAAGAATTTCATCATCGCTTGCGGCTAGGGTTGGCATCGTCCCCCACTCCTCATGTCGAGGGGAAATGGGCGAGGTTTAGGACTGTGGCTCATGCAGCTGCAATGGCTACTTTGGGTACACGGTCCATACCTCCTCAGAGACCCTGGCTGACAAAAGAGGTGTTCAGGCTAGCTGAAAAAAAGCGACAGGCCCTCTCTCATCGTCTACAGCAGGGGTCCTCAAACTACGGCCCCGCGGGCCACATGCGGCCCGCCGAGGACATTTATTCGGCCCGCCGGGTGTTTTTGCCGCCGCTGCCTGTCTGTTACTTTTTTTCTGCATGAGAAGGACGGTCATTGGTGGAAGAGGGAGAGGGGGCGGAGTTTCCCCCAATCAGACTGCATTGATGGGCAGTGCAGTCTGTATGTCTCTGTGTGGGCAAAGTTATTGCTGGTATATTGTTTTTGTAGCGCTGTATATATATTGGTATTTTACTAATAGCAATTTTGACTCCCTAGGAAACAATGATGTCAAGAAAGAGAAAAATTGACTCGGAGTGTAGGATATTCAAAGAACAGTGGACTTATGATTACTTTTTCATGCAGTACAAGGAAAGAGCTGTGTGTCTGATATGCCAGAATATAGTGTCTGTGTTCAAAGAATACAATTTACGTCAACACTATAAAACTCAACATAAAGATAAATATGCTTGTTTGGTCGGAGAAGTGAAAAAGATAAAATATTAAAACTGAAAAATACATTAACAACTCAACGAAATAGTTTTGTGAAGCAGAAGCAGCTAAATATTTCATCACTGCGAGCAAGTTTTCAAGTTGCCAAGCTAATAGCGTGCACTGGCAGACCATTCGTGGAGGGAGAATTTGTTAAAGAATGCCTTCTTTCTGTTGCCAAAGAGATGTGTCCAGAGAAGGCCGATTTATTTAGTACAGTGAGTCTTTTAGGACCTACAATTACACGGAGGATTGAAGAAATGGGAGACAATTTGCATCAGCATTTGCAAAACTCCACAAAAAAACTTTCCTATTTTTCCTTGGCACTCGACGAAAGCAATGATGTTCGTGATTCTGCACAACTTCAAATTTTTATTCGTGCGACGAATGACTATTTCGAAGTCACAGAAGAGCTTGCTGCACAGCAAAGCATCAAAGGAACAACTACAGGAGAGGATATCTTTCGATTTAAAGCTTTCGTGACTGCAGGGATTCATCTTCTTGGTTCTTTCGGTAAAGTCACATAGAAGGGAAGTAATAAAATAATTCTCACGACGTTTCGGCCACAACGCAAGCAGCCGTCCTCAGGTGAAAACCAGGTCTGTTGGGGAGACAGCGTCTGAATGAAACAGCACACGAGCTTGGAGCATATATAAGCTGGGTTGGAAGCGGGGGAAAGAGCGCCTTGACAAAATAATTTCAATATCAAGAGGAATTTAGCATATTTATGGGAAATGCAGGAATGTGATTAGTACTACATATGCCCGTGCTGCATATGTAGTACTAATAACATTCCTGCATGTCCCATAAATATGCTAAATTCCTCTTGATATGCAAATTATTTGTCAAGGCGCTCTTTCCCCCGTTTCCAACCCAGCTTATATATGCTCCAAGCTCGTGTGCTGTTTCATTCAGACGCTGTCTCCCCGACAGACCTGGCTTTCACCTGAGGACGGCTGCTTGCGTTGTGGCCTAAACGTCGTGAGAATTATTTTATTATGTTTTATTTTTATTATTTTATTACTTCCCTTCTACGTGACTTTACCGAAAGAACCAAGAAGAGAGGATATCTATGAAAAGGTTTGCCAAACTGTGAATGGTTTGGAGCTGAACTGGGCTAAACTAGCCAGTGTGACAACTGATGGTGCTCCTAGCATGGTGGGGTCTAAGAAAGGAGTAATTGCTCGCATTAACCAAGAGATGGACAAACATAACCATTCTCATCCAATAGCCATACACTGCCTCATCCACCAACAAGCGCTGTGTAGTAAATCACTGAAGTGGGACTCGGTTATGAAATTTGTGGTATCTTGTGTTAACTTCATTAGAGCTCACGCACTAAACCACAGACAATTTCAGGCATTTCTGTCTGAGCTAAATGTTGACTATGAAGATGTTCTGTATCACACAGAAGTCCGTTGGCTGAGTCGAGGGAGAGTTTTGAAACGTTTCTATGACTTACTTCCACAGATTACAGCTTTTCTGCTTCAAAAAAACAAAGAAGTACCAGAGCTCAATGATGCAGAATGGAAATTGCACCTTGCCTTTCTGACAGATGTAACAGAGCTACTCAACAGTTTCAATGTGCAACTTCAAGGAAAGGGGAAGCTCATCTGTGATATGCAATCACATGTCAAAGCATTTGAAGTAATATTAGGCCTCCTTATCAAACAAGTGAAGGAGGAAAACTTCTGCCATCTCCCCACAACTCAAAATCTGTTAGCGGAAAAACCATTGGTTGCATTCCCAAACAAAACGTGTGGATTCACTGGAAAAATTGCAAAAGGGGTTCCAATTTGGATTTAAAGAGCTTCAGCTCCATGAACAGGACATACAGCTTTTCCGTAACCCATTTTCTATTGACATTGAAAATGTGGATACAATTTACCAAATGGAACTGGCTGAACTGCAGAATTGTGACTCTCTGAAAGACGCATTCAAGTCAAGCAGCCTTAATAATTTCTATGCATCTCTCCCCTCTGAGACATATCCTCATCTCAGGAACCATGCACTCAAAATGGCAACCATCTTTGGCAGCACTTATGTCTGTGAACAGACTTTTTCCAGAATGAAACATTTGAAATCTCCAACCAGATCTAGACTAATGGATGCACACTTGCATCACTTGTTACGACTAGCAGTGACAAATTTGGAACCGGACATTGACCATCTCATTAGCCAAAAGCAGGCCCATAGTTCCCATTGAAATACTGGCAAGTTTGTTGATTTAACTTTACTTGTTCTTCATTTTAAATATTGTATTTATTCCCGTTTTGTTTCTTCACTTCAAAATAAGATATATGCAGTGTGCATAGGAATTTGTTCATAGTTTTTTTTTAACTATAGTCCGGCCCTCCAAGCGTCTGAGGGACAGTGAACTGGCCCCCTGTTTAAAAAGTTTGAGGACCCCTGGTCTACAGCATCCCACGTCAGAGAATGAGGAAGCTTACCGCAGCCTTCGCTCAGAGGTTCGGAGAGCCGTGAGGTGCTGCAAGGATGGGTGGTGGTCGTGGGTTGCTGAGGAGATGGAGTCTGCCTCAATGGCCTGCGATCACAAATCGCTGTTTATTTCCATAAAAAAGTAACCTACAGCGCCATACCTATTACCATCATTAGGGAAAAGATTGGTGATCCAATCTCCGACCCCCAGGAACAGGTTTGCAGATTTGCTGAGCATTTCTGTGAGGTCCTGGGGGAGGGGAAATACCCCAGCCTGGAAAACATCGTGGGACAAAGTGGGGATGACCCTGCTGAGGCTGTGGTGCCTCAAATATTGGAAGAGGAAGTCACCACCTGTGAGTGGCTGGCTGAGGTGCCATCAGTTGAGGAAGTACTGAAAGCGTTCCAGAGCCTGAGACCAGGAAATGCACCAGGCAAAGATGCTCTCCCAAGTGTTGTGTGGTTATTCCTGACACCGCTGGAGACTTGTAGATCCACACGGAGACGGAGCTTCATGTAAGGGCTTGCGCCAGTTGTTTTATTAAACACTCTTCACACCACTCTGCTTACACTCTGAGTACTGCTGCACAATCACTGCCTACGCTACACACCTGACGCCTTCGCCCGTCATGGTGCAGGCGTCGGACCTCTGGCTGCACGTGGAACTGTCTCCCATTACTCCACGCCCCGCCACGGCTCCCCCTCGTCTGCCCCGGGCGGGGGCACGCCGCCATCACCGCCCGGCGACGAGGTTGGGCTTCTAACCCTCGAGCCTTCCTCCTTCGGCGGCGGCGGCTGGGCTGTTCCCGCTGCAGGCACACGTTCCCGTGTCCTATCACACTCCACACCCCAGGGGAAGGGTACTGGGGATTCCTAGCACTCTCACAGTAGTGTATAGTCTAGTGTATATTGTATAGTAGCGTAGTGTATAGTAGCGTAGTGTATAGTAGCGTAGTGTATAGTGTAGTGTATAGTGTAGTGTATAGTATTGGGCACGCCCAACGACCCCACCACCACCACCTCCCTCCTTCACCACCAGCACCACGGGGAGTGTCGGCGAATCTCCAGGCGGGCTACATCAGTCCGGCCGTCATGTCCACGTAGTCCTAGAGAGATGGGAGAGAGATGGTGAGAGATGGGGGAGAGGTGGGGAGAGGTGGGGAGAGGTGGGGAGAGATGGGGAGAGGCGGGGAGAGGTGGGGAGAGGTGGGGGAGAGGTGGGGAGAGGTGGGGAGAGGTGGGGAGAGGTGGGGAGAGGTGGGGAGAGGTGGGGAGAGGTGGGGGAGAGGTGGGGGAGAGGTGGGGAGAGGTGGGGGAGAGGTGGGGGAGAGGTGGGGGAGAGGTGGGGGAGAGGTGGGGAGAGGTGGGGGAGAGGTGGGGGAGAGGTGGGGGAGAGGTGGGGAGAGGTGGGGGAGAGGTGGGGAGAGGTGGGGAGAGGTGGGGGAGAGGTGGGGGAGAGGTGGGGGAGAGGTGGGGGAGAGGTGGGGGAGAGGTGGGGGAGAGGTGGGGGAGAGGTGGGGGAGAGGTGGGGGAGAGGTGGGGGAGAGGTGGGGGAGAGGTGGGGGAGAGGTGGGGGAGAGGTGGGGAGAGGTGGGGGAGAGGTGACAAAGACCAAGATCCCCGTGTAGCCTGAACAGGCTGTAGGGGCAAGTGCTGTTAGCGAGCAGCAGCACCTATGAAGGCTACCGGCACTGTGGCACACGAGGGGGTGGGTGGCCAGCACCACGCCCGGCCGCCTTTGTCTCCCCGGCGGCGATGTTTACTACACATACCACGCCAGGTACTCGATTGAGGCTGAGTCGACCTAGTGGAGACCCGGGACCAGAACAGATCATCGCTATCACTGGTGTGAAGAAGATCAACGTTTAGTCCTTTTAAAATAAACATCTCATCATGGCCAAAGCCACCGCCGCCACCACCACCACCACCGCCACCACCGCCACCACCACCGCCGCCACCACTGCCGCCACCACCACCGCCACCACCACCGCCACCACCGCCACCACCGCCACCACCACCACCACTTCTCTTCCCTCTACGGCATCCTACGAGCGTGGTGGCAAGCGCGAGGTCGCAGGTTCGACCCCTACGGCCTGACGACCCCCACGTCTCCATCTCTCTCTCTGCCCCGTGGCCCGTGTCGTCCCCCCTCCCGGACGGGGCAGCGGTCACCTCGTCACGGCGGCCCCCGTTGGCCACGAGGATCCGCCCCAAGTCGTCCGCCAGCCGCGCGAACGTCGGTCTGTCGCTGGGGACGGTCGCCCAGCACTCGCTCATCGTCGCGTGTCTGCGCACGGCGACACGCGAGTCAAGTTCAACACGCACCGTGCGTGTACACCGTGCGCACGGCGTACACGCAATGTGCACAGACATGCAGCTACTACATTTACAATCATAGAGTAGTGTATAGTGTAGTGTATAGTGTAGTGTATAGTGTAGTGTATAGTGTAGTGGATAGAGTAAACCCACTACTGTATTTACAATTATAGAGTAGTGTATAGTGTAGTGTATAGAGTAGTGTATAGTGTAGTGTATAATGTAGTGGATAGAGTAAACCCGCTACTGTATTTACAAGTATAGTGTAGTGTATAGTGTAGTGTACAGAGTAAACCCACTACTGTATTTACAATTATAGTGTAGTGTATAGTGTAGTGTACAGAGTAAACCCACTACTGTATTTACAAGTATAGTGTAGTGTATAGTGTAGTGTATAGTGTAGTATATAGTGTAGTGTATAGTGTAGTGTATAGTGTAGTGTATAATGTAGTGTATAGAGTAAACCCACTACTGTATTTACAATTATAGTGTAGTGTATAGTGTAGTGTATAGTGTAGTGTATAGAGTAATAATAACAACATCAACGAACGACGCTCCTGTAGGTAACATGACGTCATCGTCGTAGTCGTCGTTGCGATCTCCGATTCCTACTCACAGCTCGTCGGAGCAGAGGGCAGGCCGCTCCATGCGGTAGCCGTCACCGAGCAGCTTGAAAAGCTTTTCCACGGGGACGCCCGGGTACGGAGAGCCCCCCAGGGTGAAGATCTCCCACAGCAGCACCCCGTAGGACCACCTGCACACACATACGCACAAACACGCGCACACATGCAAATGCATGCACAACCACACACACACACGCATACACATGCATGCTCACGCACGTACACAACAACAACAACCGCCATTCGCCACTAAATGGTAGTGACATCACCACGGCGCTTGTGCCAGGCCATGTGCACCTTGAGGCCACGTGAATTGTCGAACGCCCGCTGGCAGGAGGTCACGGGGCAGACCCAGCAGGTGCCACGGGTCGACTGACTGAGATGACCGAGATGACTGGCTGATGCACCACCTGTGCCCCCGACTGCCAACTTGCTGTGCTTTAGACACCCGGCGCTCCGCTCGTTGTTATGAGCGTCGCTCCTCCGCTCTCCGTTGTTGTTGGAGGGCGACTGCCTCCAACTGCCCAGTAGCGTCCTTCACGAGCCTCCTCCACTGAGGCCTATCTTGACACCGCTGGTACCAGTCATCAGCAAGTCCACTCAGCTGCACGTCCTCCTGTACCACATCACTCCATCTCTTCTCTAGCCCGTGCCGCGTCCGTTTAGCCCCCTCAATTCGGCCGAACAAAAGCTGTTTAGGCAAGCGTAGAGAAGGGAGGGAATGACTGTGGCCGAGAAGGCCTGAAGCTTCGTGCGGAGCCGGTCATAAGCACACTGCCCAGGTATGGGAAACTCTCCACTCTCTGCACAACTGCCCTGTCACCAATTGGGAGTTGTGGGGGTGGAGTGTCCAATGGTACAAAATACCCAGGCAGGTGCTGATGGTAAGGCTCCACCTCTTAGTGGCACACTCCAGTTTCAGCAGAAGCATCTCTAACTTCTCCTTTGAATGAGCAGCAATTACCAAATCATCGGCATACGTAACATGGTTGAGCAATAGGGAGCCATCCCTTGACCAAACCCGGGCATCGAATAGCCTCCCATTGCATCTGTACCACATGGAAATTCAGCTACTGAAGGTTTCACGAACTACGTGGTTGAAATAGATGTTACATAATGTGGGAGCGAGAGGACATCCCTGTCGCACCCTAAAGTAAACAGCGAATGTCTCCGACTCCCGGCCACGTAGTTTTACCCGGGCCCGCTCACCATCATGAAGGTCCTTAATGATCGCGAGCAGAGGGTCAGGTACTCCGAAAGCACGAAGAACAACCCAGAGCCCATGCCTACTGATAGTATCATAGACCTTGACCGGGTCAATAAAGCAGAGATGTAGGTCTTGTTGGAATTCCATCCACCTCTGCTGTAGCAGACAGACAGAAAATATGGCATCTGTGCAGGACCGGCCTTTCCTGAAACCACATTGGGGCTCCTCAAGCCTCTCCTCAGCGTGCCTAGCAAGGCGATGTTGAATAATCCTTGCCAGGACCTTTCCCGGCACACTGAGGAGTGAGATGCCCCTGTAGTTGTTACAGTCTGTGCGGTCCCCCTTCTTAAAGAGTGGGACCACCAGGGCATCCTTCCAATCCTGTGGAACCCATCCATTGGTCCAGACTGTCGTTATGATGTCATGTAGGGCAGTCTGTGCACAAACGCCACTCTCCCTCAGCATGTCGCTTGGGAGATGATTTTTGCCCGGTGCCTTTCCTGGTCCCTGACTCTGGATCGCCTTCAGTACTTCCTTAACAGATGGCACCTCAGCCAGCAACTCACAGGGGGTGACTTCTTCCTCCAATATTTGAGGCACCGCAGCCTCAGCAGGGTTATCCCAAATTTGCCCCATGATGTTTTCCAGGCTGAGGAATTTCCTCTTCCCCAGGACCTCAAAGATTCTCAGCAAATCTGCAAACCTGTTCCTGGGGACAAATAGTTTGCTGCTTTAGCCCACCGGTGTGTTGAAGCGTGAAACCACAACATTTACAATTTGAGAACGACGTTTCGCTGGTAATTGCATCCAGCATCATCGGGCAATTCGCCAGAATGGTGAGGCTCTGCTGTGTCTCCCGTTCTTATATATTTACTGATTGGCCGTGTCGGGTGGTGGAGGGTTACGACACATTTATAAATAACGCGATCCAAACCCAAAAACGTTGATTATGAATAATATTGGTCGCGAAAGCCTACGTGTTAAACTGTTCCTGGGGGTCGGAGATTCCCCTAATGATGGTAATAGGTGTGGTACTGCAGGTGACTTTTTTGATGGAGTTAAATAGTGATTTGTGATCGTGGGCCACTGAGGAAGACTCCATCTCCTCAGCAACCCGTGACCACCACCCATTCTTGCAGTGCCTCACGGCTCTCCGAACCTCCGAGCGAAGGCTGTGGTAAGCCTCTTCATTCTCTGACGTGGGATGCTGTAGACGATTAGAGTGGGCCTGTCGCTTTTTCTCAACCATCCTGAACTCCTCTGTCAGCAGTGTGCCTGCTGACGTCACGCTCCCCCCCCCAAACCCTCCGCGTAGGCCGTGTGTTAACCCAAGCAAGAGTCCAAGTCTCAGGCGAAGCCGGGGAGTCAAGCGACTATTTGTATAATTGGCTAAGATGTGATTTTTGCTGTGTTTTGTGATACTATTATTCTCATTTCTTTCTTATTTTTTTTATTTTCTCTCTATTTTTACTTACGACTGACCTTCATATATGACCAAATACCCATCCCAAACGGCGTTAAAAACACAAAGAACAATTAAAAAAAACTTCTCCCTGGCTGGAGGTGAGTGAGGGGACCAAAAAAATGTATGCGGTTTTTCCAGATCGTGGGGGGCCCGCGCCCTTAACCCCCGAGATGTGGAAGGGTCGACCGTATACAGCGGTAGCAGGCAGTGTCAGGGTTTGGATGGAACCCACGACCTCCTGCGTACCAGCCAAGGTAGTCAACGTGTCACAGCCACTCACACGTCGCTCCGCTGTGTGTAGACGCGGTGCAGCAACGCCTCCGGTGCCATCCACTTCACCGGCAGGCGTCCCTGGAGGGGCGACAGGTGACGAGGGGAGGTCAACGACGCACAGCCTGACCCTTGACCCACCACCACCACCACCCTTTTATCCACCACCACCCTCTCCCCTACCTCCCTCTCTTTTCTTTTTTACGATCAGAGGAAACAAGAAGATGCTCGGTGTAGTCGGCACTTTGCTTCGTTCATCATTTCGTAATTTTTTCCAATGTTTTGCTTTATGTGCCCCCCCCCTCTTCTTTTTTTCAAATGAAAGATTTCATGAAAGATTCTCTCTCTCCCCCCCCCCCCTCCCCCGGGCATGACCACCGCCACCACCACCACCTCCTCCACCGCCACCACCGCCACCACCTCCACCACCGCCACCACCACCACCGCCTCCACCGCCGCCACCGCCGCCACCACCGCCACCACCGCCACTCACGGCAGCAGTCTTGTGCTGGTAGTAGTAGTCACGTTCGCCGCCCACGTCGCGGGTGAGGCCCAGATCGGCGATTTTCACCGAATAGCCGCCACCAACTCCGCCGTCAACGACGAGGACGTTCCTGGCCGCCAGGTCCCGGTGAACGCACTGTGACACCGACACACACGGTGCATGGGTAGGTGTGTGTGGGTAGGAGATGTGTGTGGGTAGGGGTGTGTGGGTAGGAGATGTGTGTGTAGGGGTGTGTGGGTAGGGGTGTGTGGGTAGGTGTGTGTGGGTAGGTGTGTGTGGGTAGGGGTGTGTGGGTAGGGGTGTGTGGGTAGGGGTGTGTGGGTGCCGGACGGGCAACTCTGTCGTGGACAGTGCTGTGAGGGGAGGGCCAATGCCGATTGGCCTCTCCCGTCATGGCGTCTGTGACCACCACAGTGGCTAAACGGGGGCTCTGGACTGGTGCAATGGGTTGGTAATCCCTCCACCTTCAATTAATTACCACTAAACCACGAATTAAATATGTAACTAATAAGTTTGTGGCACAGGCCATGGGGGGGGGGGGGACAGTTGTCTATGACGTCTCCTGGCCAAACCCCAATTGTCGGAACCAGGAGATTGAATCTTCACCCTTGGGGCTCCTCCAGAAACAACGAAAAACCACTTCGTGTGGCGAGGTGGAATGTTCGAACACTCACTGCGGAGGAGAGGCTGCCACTCCTCTGTCGGGAGCTGGACCGGTACCGCCTGGATCGCTGTGGCATTCAGGAGGTCCGGTGGACCGGTCCTGGCTCCTGCCACCATGAGGGGTGGACAGTACTTTACTCGGGGCAGGAGACTGCCAAACAACAGGGTGTGGCTCTTCTTCTGAACAAAAGAATGAAGGGGGCGTGGGAGCGTGGCGGTGAGGTGTGGGAAGCTGTAAGCCCCAGGCTACTTTGGGCTCGCCTTCCCATCAACCGGAGACGAGGAGTGGTGGTCGTGGTTACTTATGCCCCCACCGAACACGAACATCCGTGGAGGGATGCAGGCAAAGCCGATGAGTCAAATGCCTTCTATGACCTCCTGTCACAAGTGCTGGCTAGATTGGCCACTCGGGATAGAGTCATCTTGTTGGGTGACTTCAATGCCTGAGTTGGTCATGATGCTGGCACCTGATCTGGAGTGATTAGAAGGCATGGGCCAGATCAGCTCAATAACAACGGTAGGAGGCTGCTAGATTTTTGTGCAGCCCATGGGCTTGTAATTACCAACACGCTCTTCCGGCATCGGCGCATCCACACAACATCATGGATGCATGACGGGTCCAAGCAAGAACATCTGCTGGTCTACATAGTGACGGACCAGCGGATGCGAGCCCATGTCCTTGACACCAGGACCTACCGTGGAGCTGATCTGCCCTCTGACCATCGACTAGTCATCTGTAAGATGCGCCTGCCATTCTTCCACTCCGGTGGTGGGTGTACACCCAGGACCCCCTTCCAACCTAAAGTGGCCTGGTCTCAGCTGATGAAAGTTGCAAGTGAGAATTTCATCATTGCTTGCAGATGGGGTTGGCATCGTCCCAACTCCTCCTGATGTCGAGGGTTAATGGGCGAGGTTTAGGACTGTGGCTCATGCAGCTGCAATGGGTGCTTTGGATACGCGGTCCAGACCTCTCCAGAGACCCTGGCTGACAGAGGAGGTATTCAGGATAGTTGAGAAAAAGCGACATGCCCACTCTAATCGTCGACAGCATCCCACGTCAGAGAATGAGGAGGCTTACCGCAGCCTTCGCTCGGAGGTCCGGAGAGCCGTGAGGCGCTGCAAGGATGGGTGATGGTCATGGGTTGCTGAGGAGACGGAGTCTGCCTGAGTGGCTCACGATCACAAATCACTATTTAACTCCATCAAAAAAGTAACCTGCAGCGCCACACCTATTTCCATCATTAGGGGAAAAAACGTTGATCCAATCTCCGACCCCCAGGAACAGGTTTGCAGATTTGCTGAGCATTTCTGTGAGGTCCTGGGGGAGGGGAATCCCTCAGCCAGGAAAACATCATGGCACAAAGTGGGGATAACCCTGCCGAGGCTGCGGTGCCTCAAATATTAGAGGAAGAAGTCACCCCCTGTGAGTGGCTGGCTGAGGTGCCATCTGTAGAGGAAGTACTGAAGGCGATCCGGAGTCTGAGACTAGGACAGGCACCGGGCAGAGATAATCTCCCAAGCGAAATGCTGAGGGAGGGTGGCGTTTGTGCACAGACTGCCCTACATGATATCATAACAAAAGTCTGGACCACTGGACGGGTTCCGGAGGATTGGAAGGATGCCCTGGTGGTCCCCCTCTTTAAGAACGGGGACCACACAAACTGTAACAACTACAGGGGCATCTCACTCCTCAGTGTGCCGGGAAAGGTCCAGGCAAGGATTATTCAACATCGCCTTGCTAGACACACTGAGGAGAGGCTTGCGAGCCCCAATTCGGTTTCAGGAAAGGGCGGTCCTGCACAGATGCCATATTTTCTGTCTGTCTGGTACAGCAGAGGTGTAGGGAATTCCAACAAGACCTACATCTCTGCTTTATTGACCTGGTCAAGGCCTATGATACCATCAGGAGGCCTGGGCTCTGGGTTGTTCTTCGTGCTTTCGGAGTCCCTGATCCACTGCTCACGATCATTAAGGACCTTCATGATGGTGAGTGGGCCCAGGTAAAACTACGTGGCCGGGAGTCGGAGACATTCGCTGTTTATTTTGGGGTGCGACAGGGATGTCCTCTGGCTCCCACATTATGTAACATCTATTTCGACCACGTAGTTCGTGAAAACTTCAGTAGCTGTACCGGAGGAATTTACATGTGGTACAGATACAATGGGAGGCTATTCGATGCCCGGGTGTGGTCAAGAGATGGCTCCCTATTGCTCAACCCCGTTATGTATGCCGATGATCTGGTAATTGCTGCTCACTCAGAAGAGGAGTTGGAGGCACTGCTGCTGGAACTGGAGCGTGCCACTAAGAGGTGGGGCCTTACCATCAGCCCCACCAAAACTAAGCACCTGCCTGGGTATTTTGTACCATCGGACACTGCACCCCCACAACTCCCAACTGGTGTTGGGGCAGTTGTGCAGAGAGTGGAGAGTTTCCCATACCTGGGCAGTGTGCTCATGACCGGCTCCGATTTGACAGCAGAGGTCTCACTCCGAATCAGTCGAGCGGCAATATCTTTTCATCGGTTGCATACCGCTGTGTGGAAGCTACCTGGTCTGTCGCTCCGCACGAAACTTCAGGTCTTCTCGGCCACAGCCATTCCCTCCTTTCTCTACGCTTGCGAAACGTGGACCCCCCTAATGGAGCATCTTCACCGGTTAGAAATATTTAGGCTGGCCTGCCTACGATCCATCCTGGGTTTAACTAGGCTGGATTGTGTGAGGAGCTCATATATCCTTGAAAGATCTGGACGAAGTCCCATCGGTGAGCTCCTCCGGTAGGCAAGGCTGTGTTGGCTGGGCCATGTAGCCCGCATGCCCAGCCACCGCATGCCTAAACAGCTTTTGTTCGGCCTGGATTGAGGGGGCTAAACGGGCGCAACACTGGGCTAGAGAAGAGATGGAGTGATGTGGTACAGGAGGACGTGGAGCTGAGTGGACTTGCCGATGACTGGTACCAGCGCTGTCAAGATCGGCCTCTGTTGAGGAGGCTCGTGAAGGACGCTACTGGGCAGTTGGATGCAGTCGCCCTCCAACAACAACGAAGGGCAGAGGAGCGACGCTCACAACAACGAGCGGAGCACCGGGTGGCTAAAGCGCAGCCAATTGGTACAGTAGGGGGCACAGGTAGTGCATCAGCCAGTCATCTCGGTCATCTCAGTCAGTCGACCCGTGGCACCTGGATCTGCCCCGTGACCTCCTCGACATTTCACGTGGCCTCAAGGTGCACATGGCCTGGCACAAGCGTCGTGGTGACGTCACCGCCACTTAGTGGCGAATGGCGGTTGTTGTTGTTGTTCTAGATTTGAAGCTTTCGTGACTGCAAGGATTCATACTCTAAGTTTATTCAGTAAAGTCACGTAGGTAGAAAATGAAATTTAAATTAATAAAAATAAAATAATAAAAATCACGACGTTTCGGAGGCAACACAAGTCTCCGTCGTCTGGTGGGACCGTCACAGCCAGACTTGCTGTATCAAGTGAGGCAGGGATTCCAAGATGCAAGTTCTTAATTTGTATTTAAGATTTTTATTATTTTTTATTAATTTTAATTAAATTTTTTACCTACGTGACTTTACTGAAAAAACGAAGAGTATGTTGTTGTTGAGTGGGTAGATGTGCGTGCGTGCGGGTGTCGTCGCTGCACCTTCTTAGAGGTGAGGTACTCCATGCCGCGTGCCACCTGGCAGGCGAAGGCCACCAGCTGCAGCATGGAGAGCGTTTCGCCCTTCACCTCGTCGCCACCACCACCGCCACCACCGCCACCACCGCCACCACCGCCGCCGCCACCGCCACCACCGCCACCACCGCCGGCTCCGTAGCCGCCACGCACCGTGCACTCTGCGCCGGGCGTGCGGTGTGCACGCAGGAAGTCGCGCAGATTCCCCTTGGCCGCAAACTCAACGATCACGAGCAGGGGGCCTGGGGGAGTTGGGGGGGGAGGGGCACGATGAGATGTTAACTACCTCGCCTGGTCTACAGGAGGTCGCGAGTTCAATTCCAACTCTGACGATGCCTGCTGCTGTATATTTGGAGTCTGTGTGTCTCTCCCATCATCATCACGGTGGCTATGAGATGTTAACTACCTCGCCTGGTACGCAGGAGGTCGTGCGTTCGATCCAGATGGATTTTTATTTCCTCCGTGTCCTACGGTTTTTCCCCTTTTCACATTTGGAATCGACGTCGCTACTAATGTCCACCAGAAATCATCCGTGATGGCCAGGTGGCTTCCAGAAAAAGAGCAACGCAGCTCGAGGGGAAGGGGGGTCTTGCCTGACGACATACAAACTGGTGAGCAGCGGCGGGCAAGTCGCTCTCAACAGCAAACGTCACTGGGGCTGCCGCTGTCAAGCAAAGCGGCTTGAGCTGCCGTGAGTGGCGGCGGCGGCGGCCAGGGGTCGCTTCTGAAGAGGAGCCGCACAGGCAGCGGAGCGGAGGCCTCGCCTGCTGCTCGAGTTGTCTACAAGTTCGTGTTGGTTTCATTGGCTTCGAAATAGAGAGGGGGACGGGGGAGGTGCAATGATCACAATCCCGGTTCTTTAGAAGCCGAGTCACCAAGAAGACGACCCAACTCTCGGCTTTGCCAAAATCACTCGCGAAGCCAAATTAGTCCACAAGGTGAAGAGTTCATCGCCATGACGTGGGAGGGGGGCTGCTCACCCCCCCGCTCACCACCCCCCCACACTCACCACCCACACTCACCACCCACGCTCACCACCCCCCCCCCACGCTCACCACCCACACTCACCACCCCCGCTCACCACCCCCCCGCACTCACCACCCACGCTCACCACCCACACTCACCACCCACACTCACCACCCGCCCGCTCACCACCCCCCCACACTCACCACCCCCCCACACTCACCACCCACACTCACCACCCCCCCCCCCACGCTCACCACCCACACTCACCACCCACACTCACCACCCACACTCACCACCCCCCCCCACCCACACCACCCACACTCACCCCCCCCCACACTCACCCCCCCCCCCCACGCTCACCACCCCCCCACACTCACCACCCACCCCCCCACACTCACCCCCCCCCACGCTCACCGCCCCGTGTGCATGCGCCCAGCAGGTTCACCAGGTGGCTGTGCCGTCCCATCTTCTTGAGGGTCTCCAGCTCCGCGTGGAGGTCGTGGGTCTCCGCTTCCGTGGCGTGCGCTGGGCTCGCATGCCGCACGTCCGGACCCAAATTAAAAACAAACTCTTCTAGCGGTAAAGTCACCACGTAGAATGCAAATAATAAAATAATGAAACATAATAAAATAATAAAACATAATTTAGTAATACAAATAAAACATAATAAAATGCAATTCTCACGACGTTTCGGCCACCTCAGGTGAAGAACAGGTCTGTCTTTCCGACAGACCTGTTCTTCACCTGAGGACGGCTGCTTGCGTTGTGGCCGAAACGTCGTGAGAATTGTATTTCATTGTTTTATTTTTATTCTTTCATTATTTCCCTTCTACGTGACTTTACCGAAAGAACCAAGAAGATGAATCCCTGCAGTCACGAAATCTTTACATCGAAATGTAAACTTGTAGCGATCGCCCCACAAACTCCTAGTTCTAGAACCCCGCGGGCGTCACCCTTCAGCATCTTGACGGCGACGCGGACGCTGCGATGAGGCCGTGACGGCTCCATGCCCAGCGCCTCGGCCAGCAGCACGCGGCCAAAACAACCCTCACCCAGCTGCTCACCCAGAGTCAGCCTGCACACACAGGACACACACACAGACACACACAGACACACAGACACACACAGACACACAGATACACACACACAGACACAGATACACAGAAACACACAGACACACACACACAGATACACAGACACAGACACGCGCACAGACACAGAGACACGCGCACAGACAGAGACACACAGACACAGAGACACGCGTGCAGACACAGAGACACGCACAGACACGCACAGACACAGAGACACAACAGACACACAGAGACACACAGACAGAGACGCGCGCAGACACAGACAGACACAGAGACATAAAGACACAAGCACAGACATAGAGACACAGACAGAGACACGCACACAGAGACATGCACAGACACAGAGACAGACACAGAGACAGACACACAGACACACACACAGACACAGAGACACGCACAGACACACACAAAACAAAGAACCCCCGTGTAGCCTTAACAGACTGTAGGGGCAAGTGCTGTTAGCGAGCACCTATGAAGGCCGGAACGGAACACAAGGGGGTGGGTGGCCAGCACCACGCCCGACCGCCTTTGTCTCCCCTGTGGCGATGTTTACACCGCACCAGGTACTCATTTAAGGCTGAGTCGACCTAGGGGAGGCCCAGGACCGGTTCAGATAATCGTCACTGGTGTTGGCCGTGAGCGGGAATCGAACTCTGGTCGCCGGGTTCGTAGCGCAGCGTAGCGCTAACCACTACGCCATCACTCCACACACAGACACACACACTTATACACAGACATATACACAGACACACACACATATAAACAGACACACAGACATATACACAGACACATAGACATATACACAGACACACATATACACAGACACACACACATATACACAGACACACAAACATATACACAGACACACAGACATATACACACAACAACGACGACAACAACGATGATAACAACAACGATGATGACGACAACAACAACGATGATGACGACAACAACAACGACGACAACAACAACGATGATGACGAACCGTTCCCGAGGGAACTCCCAGCGGTCGCACGGCCCCGTCACCCCCGACAGCTCCACGCCGCTCAGCGCAGACAGCACCTGGGGCGGCACCACAACCACCACCACCATCATCACCACCACCACCTCCACCACCACAACCACCACCGCTACCACCGCCACCACCACCACCGCTACCACCACCACCACCGCTAACACCACCACCACCTTCACCACCACCACCACCACCTCCGCCACCACCTCCACTACCACCAGCATCTCCACCACCACCACCTCAACTGCACCTGCATCTCCCCCTCTCCGCTCGTCGACCCTCTCCTCCTCCGCGTGAGGCCGGTGACAGCACCGATGGTGATCAGCAGCAGGAGGGCGGCGGCGCAAGAACCGCCGCCCACTCTCACGGGAGCAGCCAGGGCGGTGTCCACTGTCACAGGGAGACAGGCGAGGTAGTCAACATCTCATAGCCACCGTGATGATGAGAGAGAGAGAGACACGCAGACTCCAAATATACAGCAGCAGCAGGCATCGTCAGGGTCGGGATCGAACCCACGACCTCCTGCAGACCAGGCGAGGTAGTTAACATCTCATAGCCACCGTGATGATGATGAGAGAGAGAGACGCAAACTCCAAATATACAGCAGCAGCAGGCATCGTCAGGATCGGGATCGAACCCACGACCTCCTGCAGAGCAGGCGAGGCAGTCGACATCTTACCAGCCGGCGTCTCTTGCGGCACGACGAGGAGCCATGCAGAGCGGTGAGCGAATCCCGCGGCGTTGCCCGCCAGGCAGGTGTAGCGGCCCGAGTCGTCCGTGCTGACGTTGCGCAGGTACAGCACGTCCGTCTCCACGTCCGTCACCTCCACGCCCACCGTCTTGAGGCGACACGGCGGGCGGCGCGGAGAGAGCGAGCGAATCAGCATCTTGTTTGTATACCCACGACGCAGGCTGCTGTGCGGGGTAGGGGTGATTTGGGTTGGAGCGTCGCATGTAAGCGTTGTGTCGTCGAACTCGCCACCACCCGACATGGCCAACGAGTAAGATTCAGTGTCACGTGAACAAGTTTCAACGTTATTTATTTATTTATTAGGTACCAGCAGTAAGTACCCGGCGAAGCGGTGGCTTCTGGGTCCTGTTGTTTAGAGGGTGACGTCAGCCTCCACTGAGTTTGGGTGGGTGAGTGGGTGGGTGAATGAGTGGGTGGGTGGGTGGGTTAGTGGGTAAGTGAATGAGTAGGTGAGTAGGTGGGTAGGTTGGTGACTGGGTGGGTGAGTTAGTAGGTGGGTGGGTGGGTGAATGAGTGGGTGAGTGGGTGAGTGGGTGGGTGGGTGACTGACTGGGTGGGTGAATGAGTGGGTGGGTGAATGAGTGGGTGGGTGGGTGAGTAGGTGGGTGGGTGACTGGGTGGGTGGGTGAGTGAGTGGGTGGGTGGGTGACTGGGTGGGTGGGTGAGTAGGTGGGTGGGTGGGTGACTGGGTGGGTGAGTGGGTGAATGAGTGGGTGAGTAGGTAGGTGGGTGGGTGGGTGGGTGAGTAGGTGAGTGGGTGGGTGAGTGGGTGGGGTGAGTGAGTGGGAGAGTGAGTGGGTGAGTGGGTGACTGGGTGAGTGGGTGAGTTAGTGGGTGGGTGGGTGACTGGGTGGGTGGGTGACTGACTGGGTGGGTGAATGAGTGGGTGGGTGAGTAGGTGGGTGGGTGACTGGGTGGGTGGGTGGGTGACTGGGTGGGTGAGTAGGTAGGTTGGTGGGTGGGTGGGTGAATGGGTGGGTGGGTGAGTAGGTGGGTGGGTAGGTGAGTGGGTGGGTGGGTGGGTGAGTGAGTGGGAGAGTGAGTGGGTGAGTGGGTGACTGGGTGGGTGGGTGAGTGGGTGAGTTAGTGGGTGGGTGGGTGACTGGGTGAATGAGTGGGTGAGTGGCTGAGTAGGTGGGTGGGTGAGTGGGTGGGTGGGTGAGTGGGTGGGTGACTGGGTGGGTGAATGAGTGGGTGGGTGGGTGACTGGGTGGGTGAATGAGTGGGTGAGTAGGTAGGTGGGTGGGTGACTGGGTGGGTGGGTGGGTAGGTGAGTGGGTGGGTGAGTGAGTTAGTGGGTGAGTGGGTGAGTTGGTGGGTGAGTAGGTGGGTGAGTGGATGGGTGAGTGAGTGGGTGGGTGAGTGGGTGGGTGAGTGAGTGAGTGGGTGAGTGAGTGGGTGGGTGAGTGAGTGGGTGGGTGAGTGAGTGGGTGGGTGGGTGAGTGAGTGAGTGAGTGGGTGGGTGGGTGGGTGGGTGGGTGGGTGAGTGGGTGGGTGAGTGAGTGGGTGAGTAGGTGGGTGGGCGAGTGAGTGAGTGGGTGAGTGGGAGGGTGAGTGGGTGGGTGAGTGAGTGGGTGAGTGGGTGGGTGAGTGGGTGGGCGGGTGGGTGAGTGGGTGAGTGAGTGGGTGAGTGAGTGAGTGGGTGAGTTAGTGGGTGGGTGGGTGAGTGAGTGGGTGAGTTGGTGGGTGAGTTAGTGGGGTGGGTGGGTGAGTGAGTGAGTGTGTGAGTGTGTGAGTGAGTGAGTTAGTGGGTGAGTGGGTGAGTGGGTGGGTGGGTGAGTTGGTGGGTGAGTAGGTGGGTGAGTGAGTGGGTGGGTGCCCCCGTGCCTCGCCCGCTCACCGTGAGGACGTGCACGTAGGGTGAGCCATTGGGTGCTTCGAGGCTGCCATTCACCTCCACGTGCTTGAGCCACTGCACGTGGTGGTGCAGCTGCTGCTGACTGCTGCCGCCAGCGCTCTGCAGGACGACGCAGCGGAGCTCCACGTCGCTCCCCTCCGCCGCCGTCACGTTCGCCGGGAGGCCGTCCTGCAGCGACGGCCGCTGGGGCTGGCCACGCTCTGCACGCCGGGAGGGGCGGGAGGGGGTGGGGGGAGGGGAGGGGGGAGGGGAGGGGGGAGGGGAGAGGGAGGGAGGAGAGGGAGGGAGGGGGGAGGGGAGGGGGGAGAGGAGAGGGATGGAGGAGAGGGGGGAGAGGAGAGGGAGGGGAGGAAACAAATTACGAAATGATGAACGAAGCAAAGTGTCGACTACACCGAGCATCTTCTTGTTTCCACTAATCGTAAAAAAAAAGAGAAAAAAAGGGAAGGGGGGAGATGGAGGGGTGAGAGGAAGAGGGGAGAGGGAGGGGGGAGAGGGGGGAGATGAGAGGGAGGGGGGAGAGGGAGGGGGGAGAGGGAGGGGGAGGAGAGGGAGGGAGGGGGAGGAGTGGGAAGGGGGAGAGTGGAGGGGGGGGGGGGTCACCACCGATGACGACGAGCTGGTACGAGTGCTGGATGGAGCCGTGCTGGTTGCTGACCACACAGCTGTAGTTGCCCGCGTCAGAGGGCACCACGCTGTCCAGCACGAGCGTCCAGTCCTTGATCCTCAGCTTCAACAGCAGCAGCACAACAACAACAACATTATACACACACACACACATCGCCATTGTCTTACACACTGCTTGGTCCCCACCAAAGTGTCGGACCAGACAATGTCACTCCCAGGACCATGTCTAGCAGCTCGTGGCTGCTTCCTGGACGGCGTGACAAATATAACAAGAGGCCGTCCACCCTTTCACCCGGCCATCAAACAGTTTGTACTATGAGACATCTCATTTGCCAGTGGCAAAATAAAGTAATAGGTTTTTACCTATTCAACTGGTACAAAAACTGACACCTTTATACAAGGCATCATGTTTGCAATAATACACAACACAAGCAGTCAAAATGCAAACAAAAAGAAACAACTCTGATGATGATAATGATATGCACTGTCCTTGAAGTTGATTGGTCCACACCTGAGACAGCTTTTCTTAGAGCCCAGTCTCACCCTGGTGTTGGACCAGACGACGCCAAAAGTTTGTGTCAAGATGTGAAACCCATAATTATAGATTTGAAGCTTTCGTGACTGCAAGGAATCATATTCTTAGTTTTTTTCGGTAAAGTCACGTAGGTAAAAAAAATTTAATTAATAAAAGTAAAATAATAAAATAAAAATCACGACGTTTGGGAAGCTTGTGTTGCCTCCGAAACGTGATTTTTATTTAATTTTTATTTTACTTTTATTAATATAAATGTTTTACCTACACAGTGACTTTACCAAAAAAACCTAAGAATATGAATGTGAAGCCCAACCCGCTCACCTGGCCCCGCTCACCCAGCCCCGCTCACTGACCCCGCTCACCCAGCCCCGCTCACCCAGCCCGCTCACCCGGCCCCGCTCACCCTGCCCCGCTCACCCGGCCCCGCTCACCCGGCCCCGCTCACCCAGCCCGCTCACCCAGCCCGCTCACCCAGCCCCGCTCACCCTGCCCCGCTCACCCAGCCCCGCTCACCCAGCCCGCTCACCCAGCCCGCTCACCTAACCCGCTCGCCCGGCCCCGCTCACCCGGAAGGCCCCGAGGCGCCGCTCCTCCCCGCCGTGGAGGCGCCCTCCGTCGTGGAGCCAGACGACGGAGGGCGTGGGCACTCCGGTGGCGAGGCAGCGCAGCTTGACGCTGCTGCCGCTGGGCACCACCCACAGCGGCTTGGACAGCGAGCCGGACATGCGGCTCCAGCGAGGTGGGCCACCAGACCCCGTGGTCGTGCGCACTTGGGGGGCGGGGGGAGAGATACGTCACTCACCACTCACCCACCACTCGCCACTCACCACTCACTCACCACTCACTCACACCGCCACTCACCACTCACCACTCACACCGCCACTCACTACTCACTCACCACTCACTCACCACTCACTCACCACTCACACCATCACTCACCACTCACACCGCCACTCACCACTCACACCGCCACTCACCACTCACACCGCCACTCACCACTCACACCGCCACTCACCACTCACCACTCACACCGCCACTCACTACTCACTCACCACTCACTCACCACTCACTCACCACTCACACCGTCACTCACCACTCACACCGCCACTCACCACTCACACCGCCACTCACCACTCACACCGCCACTCACCACTCACACCGCCACTCACCACTCACACCGCCACTCACCACTCACACCATCACTCACCACTCACACCGCCACTCACCACTCACACCGCCACTCACCACTCACTCACCACTCACACCGCCACTCACCACTCACTCACCACTCACACCGCCACTCACACTCACACCGTCACTTCATCCACTCACACCGCCACTCACCACTCACCACTCACACCGCCACTCGCCACTCACACCGCCCACTCACCACTCACCACCGTCACTCATCCACTCACACCGCCACTCGCCACTCACACCGTCACTCGCCACTCACACCGCCCACTCACCACTCACACCGTCACTCACCACTCCACCGCCACTCACACTCACACCGCCACTCACCACTCACACCGTCACTCACCCACTCACACCGTCACTCATCCACTCACACCGCCACTCATCCACTCACACCGCCACTCACCACTCACACCGCCACTCACCACTCACACCCGCCAGCTCATCCACTCACACCGCCACTCATCCACTCACACCGTCACTCGCCACTCACACCGCCACTCATCCACCACACCGCCACTCGCCACTCACACCGCCACTCATCCACTCACACCGCCACTCACCACTCACACCCGCCACTCACCACTCACACCGCCACTCACCACTCACACCGCCACTCATCCACTCACACCGCCACTCATCCACTCACACCGTCACTCGCCACTCACACCGCCACTCACCACTCACACCGCCACTCGCCACTCACACCGCCACTCATCCACTCACACCGCCACTCACCACTCACACCGTCACTCATCCACTCACACCGTCACTCGCCACTCACACCGCCACTCATCCACTCACACCGCCACTCATCCACTCACACCGTCACTCGCCACTCACACCGCCACTCACCACTCACACCATCACTCACCACTCACACCGCCACTCACCACTCACACCGCCACTCACCACTCACTCACCACTCACACCGCCACTCACCACTCACTCACCACTCACACCGCCACTCACCACTCACACCGTCACTCATCCACTCACACCGCCACTCACCACTCGCCACTCACACCGCCACTCGCCACTCACACCGCCACTCACCACTCACACCGCCACTCGCCACTCACACCGCCACTCACCACTCACACCGTCACTCATCCACTCACACCGTCACTCGCCACTCACACCGCCACTCATCCACTCACACCGCCACTCATCCACTCACACCGTCACTCGCCACTCACACCGCCACTCATCCACTCACACCGCCACTCACCACTCACACCGCCACTCACCACTCACACCGCCACTCGCCACTCACACCGCCACTCATCCACTCACACCGCCACTCACCACTCACACCGCCACTCACCACTCACACCGCCACTCGCCACTCACACCGTCACTCACCACTCACACCGCCACTCGCCACTCACACCGCCACTCGCCACTCACACCGCCACTCCCCACTCACACCGCCACTCACCACTCACACCGCCACTCACCACTCACACCGCCACTCACCACTCACACCGCCACTCACCACTCACACCGCCACTCACCACTCACACCGCCACTCATCCACTCACACCGTCACTCGCCACTCACACCGCCACTCACCACTCACACCATCACTCACCACTCACACCGCCACTCACCACTCACACCGCCACTCACCACTCACTCACCACTCACACCGCCACTCACCACTCACTCACCACTCACACCGCCACTCACCACTCACACCGTCACTCATCCACTCACACCGCCACTCACCACTCACCACTCACACCGCCACTCGCCACTCACACCGCCACTCACCACTCACACCGCCACTCGCCACTCACACCGCCACTCATCCACTCACACCGCCACTCACCACTCACACCGTCACTCGCCACTCACACCGCCACTCACCACTCACACCGCCACTCACCACTCACACCGTCACTCGCCACTCACACCGCCACTCACCACTCACACCGTCACTCGCCACTCACACCGCCACTCGCCACTCACACCGCCACTCACCACTCACACCGCCACTCACCACTCACACCGCCACTCACCACTCACACCGCCACTCACCACTCACACCGCCACTCGCCACTCACACCGTCACTCGCCACTCACACCGCCACTCACCACTCACACCGTCACTCATCCACTCACACCGCGACTCGCCACTCACACCGCCACTCACCACTCACACCGCCACTCACCACTCACACCGCCACTCACCACTCACACCGCCACTCACCACTCACACCGCCACTCGCCACTCACACCGTCACTCATCCACTCACACCGCCACTCGCCACTCACACCGCCACTCACCACTCACACCGCCACTCACCACTCACACCGTCACTCGCCACTCACACCGCCACTCACCACTCACACCGTCACTCACCACTCACACCGCCACTCACCACTCACACCGCCACTCACACACATGAACACACACACGTACACACACACGTACACTCACACACACACACGTACACACACGTGAACACACACACGTACACTCACACACACGTGAACACACACACACGTGAACACACTCACGTACACTCACACACGTACACACACACGTACACACACACGTACACTCACACATGCGCACACGCACACACACGTACACACAAAATCACACGTACACTCACGTGAACACACACACACGTAAACACACGTACATTCACACACGTACACACACGCACACTCACGTACACTCACGCACGTACACTCACACACACGTGCACACACACGTACACACACACGTGAACACACATGAACACACACGTACACTCACACACACGTGCACACACACACGTATACACACACGTGAACACACACGTGAACACACACGTACACTCACAACAACAACAACAACAACCGCCATTCGCCACTAAGTGGCGGTGACGTCACCACGACGCTTGTGCCAGGCCAAGTGCACCTTGAGGCCACGTGAAGTGTCGAACGCCCGCTGGCAGGAGGTCACGGCTGACCGAGATGACCGAGATGACTGGCTGATGCACCACCTGTGCCCCCTACTGTACCAACTTGCTGTGCTTTAGCCACCCGGCGCTCCGCTCGTTGTTGTGAGCGTCGCTCCTCCGCCCTCCGTTGTTGTTGGAGGGCAACTGCCTCCAACTGCCCAGTAGCGTCCTTCACGAGCCTCCTCCACTGAGGCCGATCTTGACACCGCTGGTACCAGTCATCGGCAAGTCCACTCAGCTCCACGTCCTCCTGTACCACATCACTCCATCTCTTCTCTAGCCCGTGCCGCACCCGTTTAGCCCCCTCGATCCGGCCGAACAAAAGCTGTTTAGGCATGCGGTGGCTGGGCATGCGGGCTACATGACCCAGCCAACGCAGCCTTGCCTGCCGGAGGAGCTCACTGATGGGACTTTGCCCAGATCTTTCAAGGACTTGTGAGCTCCTCACACAATCCAGCCTGGTTAAACCCATGATGGATCGTAGGCAGGCCAGCCTAAATGTTTCCAACCGGCGAAGATGCTCCATTATGGGGGTCCACGTTTCGCAAGCGTAGAGAAGGGAGGGAATGACCGTGGCCGAGAAGACCTGAAGCTTCGTGCGGAGTGACAGACCAGGTAGCTTCCACACAGCGTTACGCAACCGATGAAAAGATATTGCCGCTCGACTGATTCGGAGTGAGACCTCTGCTGATAAACTGGAGCCGGTCATAAGCACACTGCCCAGGTATGGGAAACTCTCCACTCTCTCCACAACTGCCCCATCACCGATTGGGAGTTGTGGGGGTGGAGTGTCCGATGGTACAAAATACCCAGGCAGGTGCTTAGTTTTGGTGGGGCTGATGGTAAGGCCCCACCTCTTAGTGGCACGCTCCAGTCTCAGCAGCAGCGTCTCCAACTCCTCTTCTGAATGAGCAGCTATTACCAAATCATCGGCATACATAACGTGGTTGACCAATAGGGAGCCATCCCTTGATCGCACCCGGGCGTCGATCAGCCTCCCATTATATCTGTACCAAATGGAAATTCCCCCGGTACAGCTATTGCAGGCTTCACGAACTATGCAGTCTAAATAGATGTTAAATAATGTGGGAGCCAGAGGACATCCCTGTCGCACCCCAAGGTGTACAGGGAAAGGCTCCGACTCCCGGCCACGTAGTTTTACCCGGGCCCGCTCACCATCATGAAGGTCCTTAATGATCGTGAGCAGAGGGTCAGGGACTCCGAAAGCACGAAGAACAACCCAGAGCCCAGTCCTACTGATGGTATCATAGGCCTTGACCAGGTCAATAAAGCAGAGATGTAGGTCGTTTTGGAATTCCCTACATCTCTGCTGTAGCAGACGGACAGAAAAATATGGCATCTGTGCAGGACCGCCCTTTCCTGAAACCGCATTGGGGCTCCGTAAGCCTCTCCTCAGCATGCCTAGCAAGGCAATGTGAACACACACACACACACTTGAACACACACACTTGAACACACACACACTTCAACACACACACGTACACACACGTGAACACACACACTCACGTACACACACACACGTGAACACACATGTACATACACACGTGAACACACACACACACGTGAACACACACACACGTACACTCACACGTACACACACGTGAACACACACGTACACACACGTGAACACACACACTTGAACACACACACTCACGTACACACACACGTGAACACACACACACACGTACACACACGTGAACACACACATTTGAATACACACACGTACACACTCGTGAACACACGCGTACACACGTACCGTACACACGTGAACACTCACACGTACACACGCTCACATACACTCACACACACGTACAAACACTGACGTACACTCACACACGTACAAACACACGTACACACACACGTACACACACACGTGAACACACACACATGTACACACACACACATGAACACATAAACACGTACACACACTCACACGTAAACACACACATGTACACACACTCACACACATGTGAACACACACGTGAACACACACACGTACACACACGTGAACACACGCACATGTACACACACTCACACGTGAACACACACACGTACACGCACGTGAACACACCCACACGTGAACAAACACGTACACACACTCACGTACACACACACACGTACACACACGTGAACACTCACGTGAACACACACGTACACGCACGTGAACACACACACACACGTGAACACACATGTACACACACGTACACACACGTGAACACACACGTACACACATGTGAACACAAACGTACACACACACACGTGAACATACACACGTACACACACTCACGTACACTCACACGTGAACACACACACACACGTACACACACGTGAACACACACGTGTACACACACTCACGTGAACACACACACGTGAGCACACACACACACGTGAACACACACACTCACGTACACACACGTACACACACGTACACACGTGCACACACACTAGTTCCCCAGTTCACGAGTGCTTCTCCACATGGTCAAGACATGATCCTTCAAGCGTCACTCACAGTGACCACCTAAAACACTAAAGCTGAAACACAATCAACGACTTCAAATACCTTCAAACCATTTCCAAGTATTCGCTCATAGCCGCACCCAAGTCTATTGTACTTGGAGTCTGCGTCTCTCTCTCTCATCACCACGGTGGCTATGAGATGTTAACTACCTTGCCTGGTCTACAGGAGGTTGTGGGTTCGATCCCGACCCTGACGATGCCTGCTGCTGTATATTTGGAGTCTGCGTCTCTCTCTCATCATCATCACGGTGGCTATGAGATGTTAACTACCTCGCCTGGTCTACAGGAGGTTGTGAGTTCGATCCCGACCCTGACGATGCCTGCTGCTGTATATTTGGAGTCTGCGTCTCTCTCATCATCATCATCACGGTGGCTATGAGATGTCGACTACCTCGCCTGGTCTACAGGAGGTCGTGGGTTCGATCCCGACCCTGACGACGCCTGCTGCTGCTGCTGTATATACAGAAGTTGGCGGTGTCTCTCTCCCCTCTCTCTCGCCACGTGCTCCGTCACCATCACGATGGGCGTCACGGCCACGCGCGCGGTCCTCACGAGTTGAAGCGACGGGAGAGAGGGGAGAGAGGAAGACGCGGAGCTGGCACAGAGCGATGCTTGAGCTCCCCCCCCCCCCCCCGTCTCGTTACCTTCGTGAGCGGCCCCCACCGCTAAGACGGCGGCGGTGGCGGCGATGCAGACGGCGAGGAGGGACCCCAGATGCCTGCCGCTGCTGCCGCTGCTGCCGCTGCTGCCGCTGTGCAGGAGCGCGGAGACGACTCCCATGGAGGTCATGGTGCTGGTGGGGTGTGGATCATGGCGGCGGGGGAATCGGTTCGATTCGCCGACACTCTTTTCCCGCGAGAGAGACGAGGCGGTGAGAGAGAAGGCGGTGAGAGAGAGTGGAGTGGCGTGTGGAAGGGTGAGTGGAGTGTTTCGGAGCGAGTGGAGTGTTGTGTAAGAACATGGATGCTACACCAACTGCTATTGCTGCTGCTGCAGTCTAACCCCAGCCAGAGAGAAGGACCCCAATGAATGATTAACCCAGCCAGAGAAAAGGACCCCAATGAATGATTAACCCAGCATCAGTTTTTGTCTATCACATCAGGTTTTTGAGATATAAAATATTGCATTTTCAATACAAACTGCGGAAGAAAAATATTAAATAAATGTGGATATCTACATAAAATGATATTGTAAACACGCTATCCTAAACATACAGCACCATATTTTAACACTAAAGCAGTCACTGACTCGTAACAACTTGCAATCATAAGTGACAGAGTTAATTTCGGGTAAAATCAATGAAAATGGGGTATGCCGATAGCATAAAAATGAGATGTGATAGAGCAAATCTGAGATCAGATTTGGAATCAGCACCCTGAAATCAGTCTCAAACTACACACACCACACACAGACAAAGCTACCCCAGGTAGCCTCTAGAAGGGCTGTAGGGGCAAGTGCTGTTAGTAGCGAGTAGCAGCAGTGTCTATGTACTACACACACCACGCACAGACAAAGCTACCCCAGGTAGCCTCTAGCAGCGCTGTAGGGGCAAGTACTGTTAGTAGCAAGTAGCAGCACCTATGAAGGCCGGCACAGCACACGAGGGGGTGGGTGGCCAGCACCACGCCCGACCGCCTTGGTCTCTCCCCCAGTGCTAGCGATGTTTACTCCACACCGCCGCTACACCAGGTACTCATTTTGAGGCTGAGTCGACCTAGGGGAGGCCCGGGACCGGTTCAGATCATCGTCACCGGTGTTGGCCGTGAGCGGGAATCGAACCCGTGTCGCCGGGTTCGTAGCGCGGCGTAGCGCTAACCGCTGCACCGCCGCTCCCCCCAGCTGTACACAGACACACGCACAGTCTGCACAGACTGCCGGGGGAGGAGAGGCAACTCACGGGGCAGCAGCAGCAGCACGGGGCAGCAGCAGCAGCACGGGGCAGCAGCTGACGGGTTGGGTGGTGCTGGGGGTGGAGGCGCGGCCACCCGGCCCGTCACTAGAGCCTCTCTCTCGTTGGTAAGGAGCACCACCAACATCAACATCCACGATGCCGCGAGAACCACCCTTCCTTAGCAGTGGTAACCACCCTTCCTTAGCAGTGGTAACCACCCTTCCTTAGCAGTGGTAACCACCCTTCCTTAGCAGTGGTAACCACCCTTCTTTAGCAGTGGTAACCACCCTTCTTTAGCAGTGGTAACCACCCTTCCTTAGCAGTGGTAACCACCCTTCCTTAGCAGTGGTAACCACCCTTCCTTAGCAGTGGTAACCACCCTTCTTTAGCAGTGGTAACCACCCTTCCTTAGCAGTGGTAACCACCCTTCTTTATCAGTGATAACCACCCTTCCTTAGCAGTGGTAACCACCCTTCCTTAGCAGTGGTAACCACCCTTCCTTAGCAGTGGTAACCACCCTTCTTTAGCAGTGATAACCACCCTTCCTTAGCAGTGGTAACCACACCCACCCAGGTTACCTGCACTGACCACTCACCTGATTCACCACCTGTACACACACACGTACACACACACACACGTACACACACACGCGTACACACACATACACACGTACACACACACACACGTACACACACACACACACGTACACACACGTACACACGTACACACACACGTACACACACACACGCACATACAATTAATTAAGTGGTGCAAATCAAACTGTGGCCCTTATCCGCTCTACCAATTCCACTCTGACCGGGGCATTGCTCGCCTATCCGAGCTACCAATTCTCCCCTCCATTCAAAAATTTTGTTTAATGTGTTACAACTTTTAAAACCTCCTTTTATAAACGATTATGACACCGCTATAACATTTGTCCCACGGGCAATCAATCACCACCACCATCACCACCATCACCACCATCACCACCATCACCACCACCACCATCATCATCATCACCACCACCACCATCACCATCACCACCGCCACCATCATCACCACCATCACCACCACCATCACCACCACCTGCACCATCACCATCAATAGCATCACCACCATCGCTACCACCATCACCACCATCATCATCACCATCACTACCACCACCATCACCACCATCACCACCATCATCACCACCATCACCACCACCACCATCAACGCCACCACCATATGTGAGTCTATGGCTCTCTCTCTGTGTGAGTGAGTCTATGGGTCTCTGTGTGTGAGTGAGTGAGTCTATGGCTCTCTGTGTGAGTGAGTCTATGGGTCTGTGTGTGTGAGTGAGTCTATGGGTCTGTGTGTGTGAGTGAGTCTATGGCTCTCTGTGTGTGTGAGTCTATGGGTCTGTGTGTGTGATGAGTCTATGGCTCGCTCTGTGTGTGTGAGTGATTCTATGGGTCTCAGAGTCTGAATGACTCTGTCTTCTCGACAGACCTGTTCTCTGTCGAGAAGACAGAGTCTGAATGTGGGGGGGTGGGAGGTTGAAACTTATGGAAACATTTGTAATAGATTGACGGTGATCATTGCCACGAGTGTGTAAGAGAAGTGAACGCATCGCCTGTGGAGAACGCGGGGATCGAACCCGCAACCTTCCGCATGGGAAGCGAGGGCGCTACCCACTGCGCTACTCGCCCAGGGCGTGAAGGTATTAAGCTCTGGGCTCCTACACGGTGACGTTCAGCCTAATCCATGAATGAGTTCTAGATTTGAAGCTTTCAAGTTCAAGTTCATGTATTAGGTGTAGTCCTGTGAGCCATTCGGCTCTTGAATCGGGTGCAACCGCAACAAACAAAAACAAAAACACGAACAAAAAACATCTTAAAGTGAATATGTGACTAAGAGCAAACAGAAAGTCCAAGAAAAGACAGCAAAATATTGCAGAAAAAATCACCGCTACACACCAACGCTGTGTGCAAATATCCCAGTGGGATGCAAGTCAAACAACAACAACAACAATAAGACAACTTAGATTAAGGCCATCAGTCTAACTCTGTACTACAACAAACAAACATGGCTAAACCAATACACTTTTCGAAATCACCAAAATAAAGCCATGAAAGCAAAATTTCGATCAACAATGCTTCTTTTAATAAACAGCAAATCCCAATCAAGCGGTCAGTGCCTTGCCCAATGGACTCACCAAATGTGTAACGTTTTCTATTTGAATAAATGTAAAATAAGTATAACCCGTAAAAACAAAGTTTTTCACTCTAAATCCTTCATATGCGTGGCGGCTAGAGTCCTCTCGTCCTCTGGCTTGAGATGGCTGCCACCTATGGGTCAGATGATTGCCTGCCACCATTAAGCAATTGGTAATTAAATGTTTAATTTGTTTTCCCTATACAGTGTAAAATTTTGGACATTATTTTTCACGAACATTAATTGTCACGCACAACGAGTCTGTGTGCAAAATGTCAGCTCGATTGGATCACGGGAAGTGGGTTAAAAAACGACCGAAAGATTTGCACGGTCGTAAGCAAGCAAGCAAGCACGCAAGCACGCAAGCATGCGAACTTAATATAAAGGATTTAATAAGTATAACCCGTAAAAACAAAGTTTTTCACTATAAATCCTTTATATGCGTGGCAGCGAACTTAATATAAAGGATTTAAAAATATATTCGCCTGTGGAGGACGCGGGGATCGAACCCGCGACCTCTCGCATGGGAAGCGAGACTGCGCCACTCGCCCAGCGCGTGAAGGTGTCACGCGCTGGGCTCCTACACGGTGACGTTCAGCCACATCCATGATGAGTTCCAGATGTGAAGCTTTCGTGACTGCAATGATTCATACTCTTAGTTTTTTTCGGTCAAGTCGCTTATTAAATTGTAGATTTGAAGCTTTCGTGACTGCAATGATTCATACTCTTAGGCTTTTTCGGTAAAGTCGCTTATTAAATTGTAGATTTGAAGCTTTCGTGACTGCAATGGTTCATACTCTTAGGCTTTTTTCGGTAAAGTCGTTTATTAAATTGTAGATTTGAAGCTTTCGTGACTGCAATGATTCATGCTCTTAGGCTTTTTCGGTAAAGTCACTCATTAAAGCATAAAACCCACGACGTTTCGATCTCAACACATTAACATGATGTATTAATGACGTCAGTTAGAGTAGCCACTCGTTGTGGGAGGGGAATGTCTTGTACCCCGGAAGTGACGTCATGTCACCTGCTGCCGCGTGACGTCACAAGCTGCAGCTTCGCGCGTGCAGTGAAATCCGAGGTGAGAAATTCTCATCGTCGTGGTGGTTGTGGTTGTGGTGGTTGTTGTTGTTGTGGTTGTTGTTGTTTACCAAGGTAGAGCCTCGCTCTCTCTCTCGTAGGGATGTCACTAGAGCAGCAGCAGCTTGTGAATCGATGTCCAAGTTGGAACTTTACAACGCGGGGCCTAGACACGCGGGGCCTTGCCTCCTGCCCTCGCCTGGTCGCGTTTGCTTTAATTCCCTCCCTAAAGTTTAATTTGTCTTCACGCGGCTCGCTACTTTGTCACTTTGGTTTATTGTAGATATTAACGCAGTTTTTTTTTGTTTTTTTACCAGCCCAAGCCCGCCTGAGCTGCTGTACCGCTCTTGTTTACAGAAGCTACCTGCCCACAACAACAACAAGGTGGGTGGGTGGGGTTTTGTCAACGCGTGTGTCAATGTTTTGACTTAAAACTTTCGTAACTGCAGCAATTCATATTCTTGGTTCTTTCTGTAAAGTCACGGAGATAGAAAATAAAAAAACAGATCAAAATATTAAATTAAATAAAAAATTGAAAATAAAGAAAAAAAACCCACGACGTTTTGACCGCAACACAAGTGGTCTTTGTTTAATTTTTAGATTTGATGAAGCTTTCGTGACTGCA